GGTGGTCTGAGCCCATGCAGCTCCCTCCCAGACCCCCTCGGAGACTTTGCTCCTGCCCCATGCAGCCCCTCAGACGCACCCAGGCCTCAGCCCCTGCCTCTCCTCGTCAGGTGGCAGTCTGATAGGAAGGAAGCCGGTGCCCTCCAGCGAGCCCATCAACAGCAGCAAGTGGAAGTCCACCTTCTCGCCCATCGCCGACCTCAGCCTGGCCAAGGCTGCCGACAGCCCACTACAGGCCAGCTCCGCTCTGAGCCAGAACTCCCTGTTCGCTTTCCGGCCCGCCCTAGAGGAGCTTGGCTCGGTTGATGCCAAGCTGGCCGCCCACCCCAGGAAGAGCTTCCCGGGTGCACTGTCAGGGGCTGGCGGGCTGAGTCCCGTCAGCAACCCTCCCAACGGCTTTGCCTTCAGCGGGGGCCTGGCTGCCGACCTCAGTTTACACAGCTTCAGTGATGGTGCTTCTCTCTCCCACAAGGCCCCTGAGGCGACCAGCCTGGGTGCCCCCCTGAGCTTTTCCGCCCCTAGGGGCAAGGAGGGCAGCACAGAGCCTGGCCCCTTTGTGAACAAGAGGCAGCTGGATGTATTGGGTGGCCCAAAAGGCGAGGGGGTCAAGGGCAGGGAGGCAGAGGGGGGCCTGCCCATGTGCACACCCTCAGACAAGGCCTTGTCGCATGGCAAGGTGGGCAAGGGCCGGGACCGTGAGCCCGACTTCAAGAATGGCCACAATCTCTTCATTTCCGCCGCTGCCGTGCCTACTGGGGGCCTCCTCAGCGGTCCAGGCCTCACCACAGCAGTGTCCTCAGCAGGCGGCACAGCCCCCTCCTCCCAGACACACCGGCCCTTCCTGGGCACTTTCGCACCTGGCCCACAGTTTGCCTTGGGCCCCATGTCCCTGCAGGCCAACCTAGGCTCGTCTGTGCTGCAGTCCTTGTTCAGCTCTGTGCCGGCTGCCGCTGGCCTAGTGCACGTCTCATCAGCTGCAACAAGACTGACCAACTCGCATGCCATGGGCAGCTTTTCCTCTGGTGTGGCAGGCGGTGCAGTTGGAGGTAGGCAGAAGCGCGTCTCTCCTGTCTGACTCTGGTCCCACGGGACCTGCTGTGGGGTCTGAGATGCCAAGCCATTGCCAAGGTGTCCTGTACTACTGGGTTTAATCACAACTGCTTTACAGGTTCCCTTCCAGAACCCTCTAAGGGATGAGAGGCTGTCCTCGTGTGTCTCTTTGTGTCCACTTTGCACCTGCCACCTTGTTCCTTTTCATGAAACACAGATGTGACTGTCACATGGGCAGAGCACTCATGCGTGAGTTGGCCTGTCAGGCTCTCCAGTTGTGACAGTGTCTCATACCTTCAAGAGAGCTGGCGCCGTGACTAGGGTTTTTCTGCCTCCCCATGGAGGTCACTGTCAGATCTGAAACAGCCTGTGGGCTCTGGGCAGCTCTGGGGACTGGTATTGGGAAGAGAGTAGCCACAGCACCTACTGCACTGTGTGTAGGGTGGACTGGAGCCACGAGGTTGGGCCCTCTGTGGTCCCAGACCTCCACAGGTGGCTCCTTGTTGGGCATAGGTGGGCGAGATGCTCACAGTGGGAAGCCCAGGAGGGCATGCTGAGGGGGGTGTGGCCCAGGGCCATCCTGCAGGTAAGTCTCACCTGGCCACCTGCACTCCTGCTGCCTGCTGCTTTGTCCCTGCACCTGCGTGCACTCAGAGCTGCGGCTACTGTCTGCTTCCCCTTTTTTGCGTGTGTCTCTTCGCTTGCCTGGAGAATGCCCGCCTGTTGAAGCTGAGTTTTTCTCTCCTGTTTGCAGGTATCTTTAACCACGCGGTGCCTTCCTCCTCCACTCATCCGTTTGGAACCAGTTTCGGCAGCGGGGCTGCTTGTCGCAGCACCACGCTGAGCTTAACCCCCATGCAGGCGGTGGCCAGTACCCCCGCCTCTTCCTTTCAGGCCCTGTCCTCTGTGGAGACGAGGCAGCCCCCACCCCAGCCTCCTCTGCCCATGAGTCGTCCCCCTGCGGGGCCACCAGCACTCCACGAGCCCCCCCCTCCTAACGTCGCCTTGCCTCCTACTCCCGTGATGCTCCCTGCTAACTCTGAGCCCGTGGTCCTACAGAAACTTGCGCCCCTCCCGTCTAACCAAGCTTTCTTACCTGCTTCCTCTGCTGCCTCTCTGCCTTCTGCTAACGCCTCTCTGTCCATCAAGCTCGCCTCCCTCCCACACAAGGTCTCCCGCCCCTCTTTCATGGTGCACCACCAGTCCCTGCCAGGGCTGGCCCTGGCCCAGGCCTCGCCCATGATCCCGCAGGCCAGCTCCACGGGGCCATCCGCCATGTGGGTTTCCCTTGGCATGCCGCCTCCTTATGCCGCGCGCCTTGCGGGGGTTAAGCCGCGATAAAGACCTTGGTTAGCTAGCCGTTCTGTTCTGTAAGGTAAGGCTAGAGCCCAATCAGGTGGCCCGTACAAGAAACTCACCTGTCCTTTTTTCCACAGAGAGTGGACGAGCCCGCAGGGCTCTGCAGAGGGGCCTGGGACTGTCGGTTCTGAGAGGTCTCAAGAAAAAATGAGCACAGGGCGGGAAGGGAGAGCATGGCAGCCATGCATGTCAGCCTCTGAGTGCAGCCTGAGCACCACCCAGGCTTGGGAGGGCATGACCTCGTGCATATCAGACCTTCCCACCAGGTCCCATGGTGCTCCAGCCCAAGGGGGCAGCAGTTCAGGGAGGCCCTACAGGCTAGGCGGACAGGGACTGTGCATTAAGTCCTACAGGGATGGGGCCATCGGCCTGGCCCATACTGCCCAGCTCCATCTTGCTGCCACACTCCAGTTGTGTGTCTGTGCGGTCAGAGACAGGCAGCCCCGCTGTGGGGCCGTGGGGGCAGCTCTGAATCTCAGCATTGCCCTTTGTCCACTCTTGGGCCTCTGTCCAGCTTGCTTCATTTAATGTATGTGGTTTTAGGAAAATGCCCTGTGCTCGAGGCCCTTGGTATTTAGCAGGCTTTCAGAAGATGGTGGTTGTGCGTTGAGCTACTTAACTAAAGGTCCCTGCCTGCAGGCCCCAACCCACATGAACCAGTGGCCACAGGAAGGGCTTCCTGGGCAGGAGGTCAGTACTCCACTGGCCTCCAAGGAACTGGGCCCATGCATTTTGGCATGCATTTTGGTGGTGGCAGAAGAGAGTAGTGTAGGAGGGACCGGACTTTTGCAATGGGTAAGGAAGGTGGTTGTGAGGCCTTCAAGGAAGCCATCTGCTCCTCTGCTTGCTGTGAGGGCATTAGACAGCTGGGCCTCTGGAGCAGCTGACCCAGCCACTGCTGGTAGGGCAAAGCGCCCTCCTGGGCGAGTCCGCAGCTGATGAGATGAGTACTCCAGGTAAAAGTTGGGGGCTAACTGGGTGCTGGGAGTGAGGTAGGTCTACCTACTGTACTTGGCTGTCTGCCTGTGTTTAAGTGGAAACAGACAAGGCCGCAGAGAGTCCAACAGCCCTCTAATGGGAGCTCAAGTCTGGGGATGGACAGTGCCTTGGTCCTGGTGGAAAAGCCGGAAGGTAGGGTGGCTCCAGTTCATAGTGTCCTCATGTTGTCAGAGTGGGGACTGTGCCTGGTACTGGCTTGAAGAGGTCAGAGGTGTGTAAATGGAAGGATCTGGGTGTCAGCCTCCCTGTCCTGACCCACAGTGGACAGCTGCTTTCCATCCTATCCTGGGCCCATCATAGATGGTCTCCCCAGACTGGACAGTGATGACCTCACTTCCAGGGCCTGTCAGTGGGGCTGACCATAGGTGCAGCACCCCTCTTTCCATGAGCTGGCATGTGGTGACCAGGGAGGGTCTCGGTTCCAAGGCTGCCAGGGAGGAGGGGAGGCTGGGACCCAGTGCCCCATGAAGGGCCTTGGGGTGGTGACCTCCTGCCTTTGACTATACCAGGGGTATGGCATAATGGTGTCTGCAATGACCAAGTTCCTTCCATCCGTCTGTAGGCTTTGGTTCCCAGCCTGGGGATGTGTGGGCTTCTCTGAGTGAAGACACTAATGCTGTACTGCATTTCCTCCTGCGCTGGTCTCTGCAGGTAACTAGGATTTCTACCTCAACCTCGAGACCTGTGCAAGGACAGGTGGGCCATGAGGCTGGTGGCCAACCAGATGGCTGGACAGACCGAGGACAAGGCTCTGCTGTGAGTCCACGCTGCGCAGACCTGCGGGAGATGCTGGGCCTGTCTCCAGCTTACTGTCGATAGTTTTAGATAAAGTATTTATCGTTTTTTAAAAAGTATAAACAATTTTGACTTATTCCATGGAAGTCATAAAGGCAACCTATTAAGAAATGTAAATACTATATATGAGAGGATCTATATAAAGACATCGACCCAACGGACTGGCCCGCCAGCGGAGATGCCAATAGCCGGGCCCGGTGCTATCTCATCGCCAGGCCTCGCCGTCTCCATGTTCTCTTGGTGCTGACTCGAGGTTGACCAACGCCAAAACCAGTCCTTGACGCGCCTGCCCTGTCATCCCCACACTTTCCCATACCAAAGGCACGCCTGTCTCCTGGTCGAGGGTGGTTCCCTTGGTTTTTAATGCCCCTTGGAAAAGGCCCCCTCCCCCACCCCGTCACTGTGAATGCTCCAGCCAGATCGTCAGCCCTGGTCCCCGGGATGGCACCTTTGGCATAGGAAGGGCCAGTGGGTAGCCTCCAGATGCTGCTCAAAGGAGGGCTGCTGTGAGTGGTGCTCGTGGGGCAGGTCTGGTACTTGACTCCAATGTGGGGCTCTGGGGAGCAAGTGCTTTATCTGTATGTCTGTACTGTCTTGGGCTTGTGCAGTCCGGGTGTGCTGGCCGGGTCGTGGGGCAGGTTAGCCGTGGGTGCCTGGTGTGTCTGTACAGAAAAGAGTCACGCTGACAAGTGACAGTATTTTATATAGATGTGATGAAAATTTATAAATTTCATAGACTTGACTTCATTTATTTTTAGATGGTATTAATGCACAGTAAACTTTAAGAAAAAAGAAAATTGAGGGGGGAAACCTTTTTATTTATTCAAGTGTACACAAGTGGCATTGGCCTAGGGCCAGAACGCTCCGCATCCCCCTGGTCAGTCCATGCTGCTGCTCCATGGCCCTTCAGTCCCATGACTGGGGTGACAACTGCCCTCACACTGGAGCAGTGTCCATGGTGCTTAGGAAAAAATGCACCTCGGGTGATCGAGGGCAAAGGCTGGCTTTGCAGGAAGGTAGGAGAGCTGTTTGGATGCTTCCAGAGGTTGCCAAAAGGTTCTTGGGTTCCTCCAGCGCTGAAGTCTCAACCAGTCCTGGGTCTCTCAGTTGAGCAATGTTTGTGTGTTGTCCCTGAAAGGGCGTTTCCAGAAGCCTTCAGTCCTCTTGAAGGGCAGTCAGCCAAAGGTCCTGGCTGGCAGGGGGACCTGGACCCTGAGAGTGGGGTGCTCCAGCCTGGGTGAGCTCAGTCAGAGCCCTGGCTGCTCTGGTGCTTGTCCCCCATGATGTGGCACCACCAAGGAACATGGAAACTCAAAGCCTCAAGTTCCCACTTTCCCTACCCTGGCCAGTGCAGCCCATTCCTCCAGATGTGGTTGCCAGGGGCCTCTGCCTGCCTGGGAGGGTTGCTATGGCAGGCCTCACCTGGCCCCTCCCCCTCTTGATTGGGGTCAGGGCTGGAGCTGGCCTTTCTGGGGGGTGGGCATTTTGTGGAACACAGGCCCAAAAGGGTGCAGAGCAGGCTTGGCTGTTGACCTCATTTCCTCAGGTGGGTCCTGGTAGAGCCCTGCCTCTTGCTTGCCCTGGGGTGGTGCCTGGCCCAGAATAATAGTTGAGGCTGAAGATGGTGCTTGGACAGGTTTTCATAACTGGCTGTCCTGTAACTGCTGCCCTGGCTCCCTTACCTCCAGGTGTGTGCTTTTGGCACACGAAGGTGCTGTGCTCACCCCGTATCCCACAACCCCATCCCCAGCACAGGGCAGCACCCTTCTCCATGTTGGGAACACAGGAATCCCTAAAAAGCTGCAGGGCTAACAGTAGGAAAAGTCAGCAGGTGGCAAGTCCCCAGTCTGGAACCAACAGTCCTGTACTCAACACTGCATCACTTCATGGTGACTGTACACCACTGTGTAGGACTTACTACTGATGTGCCATGTCTGTGCTCCCCACCAAACCAAGTCTGCCCAATAGGCAGAGCTGGGTTCTTCTGGTTAACACTGTGGTCTCCTTTCTGGGCCCATCCCCCAGCCCTCCTGACTGTAAGATCGAATGGCCGCTGTTGGCAGCAAAGGCAGCTGCAGGGGGGAAGGCCAAATGAACGACCCCGCTGCCACTGTGGGGAACGAGTTCTAGTCTCTGGGCAGAGATCCGGTGCTGCTCTGACTGCGGGCAACTTCCGAGAAGCCCAGGGCTGTGAGGGCACTTTGCTCAGGAAAATCTAATTCAGAACACCCTCCCAGTCAGGAGGAGCCAGCCTTCCCTTCCATTTCTGACTTGTGATTATTTAAGACACACTTGCCCCTTTATTTATCGGCACCGTCGCAGGAGACTTCATTTCCCCACCACCCTGTCATTCCCATTTACATGGTCCATCCACGCCAGCTTGTGTGGCTTGTGTCTCGTGTGTCAATGACCTTGACTGTTATTCAGACTGGCCCTGCTTTGTCATTCTGGTAGACCATGTTTCAGTTGGGGTCGCTGGTGTGGCCCATCCCTTTGGGTTGCTGGCTTGACCCTCTTTTCCTAAGGAAACCCCACTGCACTCTGATTTCCATCTCTAGACTGTAATAAAATGTTTGTTTTCACTTGAACCTGGTCTGCTGGCATTTGTCCCTGGTTACCACATGCTGAGACCTTAGGGACTTGAGGGTCCCACCTGGGGAGGATGGGATGGTCATACACAGCAGAAGCCCAGCCTGCTCCTGAAGCAGCTGCTGTGACTGGCAGACAGGGAGTGCCCACCTCTGGGAAGCCTGGCCCCTCTTAAGGATTACATCTGACTAAGTCAGCCCCCCCCCCCCCGCCCGAATAGTCCTTCTGATGAACTAAAACCAAGCCCCTCCCATGATTCCCCCACCTGCACTTAAGGGGGAGGCCTGGGACTGGAGGTGGGATCATGGGCCATCTGAGGATCCCTTCACCACCACCCTCATTTTCCCTTAAGGCCTGTGAGCAGGGCTCCCAGCATTTCCTGCCTTTCTAGGCTCTAGGTTGTGGGTCTCCTCCCTTCAATTTGGGCAGCCCAGCCTCTTCCTCCCAGACACTTAAACCTCAGCCTGGAGAGGACCTCTGATCCCCAGGAACCTCACTTCCCTCAGGAACCAGCTCTGCCAGCCTGTAGTGGACATACAGCCCTCTTTGCATTCATTGCACCACTGACCCCACGTGGAAAAGAGGTACCTTTATTTGAACAGAACAAGCATGCCAGCTTGAGAGCAGAAACTTCCAGCTCTGTCCAGAGGTGTTGGCTGGGTCCTGGCCCTCAGCAGAATTCACAGCAGTCCAGGAGGCGCGGCTCCCGCGCCCTTCACAGCTTTATCGAGCTTCATACATTCAGCCTGCACAGGGCGAGAGAGCTGCGCCGGCCTCAGGCACCCACCGGGCCCTAGATGGACGAGCCCCAGAAGCCAGGCACAGCTCCTGAGAGTAGACACTCGTCCCCTAGCAGCAGCATGTGGCACTGAGAGGTGCTGGACTAGTCTGATAGGTCCCAAGGCAGGACAGCCTCTGCCCGCCCTCACAAGCCTTGGGTTATTGAAGTCTTTAAGCCAAAACACCTCACTCCGAAAATCCAGGTTTGGCCAGGAAACCCAGGGCTCGGCGAGGGTGGGGAGGGCTCCTTCAGGCCCCAGTGAGTCAAGCTGAGGAGCCCAGGCCCAACCCTAGACTCATGCCTTCAAGCCACTCAGCTGGAACCGGGCCTCCTCCGATATGCCGAACTGTTCCAGGGGGTCCTGTGTGGTAGATGGGTAGCATGAGCCCTGGTCCAGGAGCAACCCCCCACTTCCCATGCCCTGTGCACACCTTGCCAGTCATCTTCTGGATTTCATTCCTGTAGAAGATGACGCTCCTGCGCATGAACTCGTAGCTGGGGAAGGAAGTAGCCTGTGCTCATAGGGCCTGGCTCTGCCCCTGCCCCAGGCCCCCAGGCCAGCCCACACCCCACACCCCACCTGGCTCGACGCAGAGCCCCCATCCACTCCTGACACTGCTCCTCGCTGCAGCACTCAAAGTGATACTTCCTCTCCGGATCCTCGATGAAGCCTGCAGAGGAAGGGGCCCCAGTTTCTCCCTGCTCACTCTCACCTCCACCCATGCTGGCCATAGGTGTTAGCTTCCTATTGCCACTGTCCACAACTGTTCCCTCCTCCAGTCCCAGCTTGGGGTTGTTGCTTCTCACTAACTATGGACTAAATTGTATCCCCCAAAAGGGTGTGTTCAAAATCTAGCTTCTGAAACCTAAGAATAGCGCCTATATGGACACAGGTAGTACAGGTGTAAAGATAAGGTCACACTGGAGTGGGGTGGATTCCTAATACAATAAAATTGGTGTACTTATAAAAAGGAAAAACTTGATCACAGACAAGCAGGAGAAAGGCCACAAGACTATGGGGGCAGAGATGAAGGAGATGCTTGTATAAGCCGAGAAACGCTAAAGATTGCCAAAGATCTCCAGAAACTGGGAGAGCATAGCACAGATTCTCCCTCAGAAGGAATCAGTCCTGCTGACTCCCCAACCTTGAACTTCTGCACTCTAGCACTAGGAGAAATAAATTTTTGTTGTTGAAGCCCCGCGGTGTGTGACACCTAGTTAATGCCATTACAGGAAACCAGAAGCTCCGCCTTCCTCTGCAGACTCGACCCTCTCAAGTGGAAGCAACCCAAAAGGGCAATGCTCGCCAACCTGGAGTGAAAATCCTGGTGGCCTTGGCGGTGGTAGTTAGGAGGTGGCTGGGACGGGTGCGCACAGCCTGCCCCACAAAAAAGAAACCCAAATCGGCCAGGGACGGCGGACTTTGTTTCTGGGGAGGGGCAGAGCAGAGCTGGGGTCACCTGTCTAGTCCCCGAATCCCGCACTCACTGATGGAGAAGCCGTTGGGCTCTTCGTGGGTGACTCTGCAGTGCTCCAATAGCAGGGCTCCGACAGGCTGCGGGGCAGACGGGTCGAATGGGCGAGCCTCCCCACGACCATAGCCCCCCGATCGCAGCCCGGGGCCCGCCTCCCTGCCGCCCTACCTCGGCCTCATCAGTCCGGAAGTAGAAGAGGAAATTGACCACCAGCTTCACCAGCCTGCGCTTCACCACTGCGGACACAGGGCGGGCTCGCGCAGGCTCGGAGACCGCCAATGCCCCTCCGACCCACTGCCCCACCCGCCCAGTCCCCAGCCCACAGCCTCTGCCCCGCTTACCGCTGCCCTTCTTGGGGCCCCGCATGCCTAGCTCGGCCGCCAAGTCGGCCGGCTGCCGGGACAACGCCTGCAGTTCCTTCTCGTTGTAGCGCATGGTGCCCCAAGCCCAGAACGCGGAGGGCGGACAGCAACCTCCCGGCCACCGTCCCCACTTACACCAAAAAATTTCCACAGCGCTTTCCCGGAAGCGCTCCCGAAGCTATTGCGCTTGCGCGGTCCCTGACCCCTCGTCCTGTCAATCACCGGCCAGGGGCCACGGGAACTTAGTAGAGCAAGGATTCGTGGGGCGTACGGGATAGTGGGCGAGACTGATAGTCATTACATGCAATAAGTTGGACCCGGGGTGCAAACAAAGCGCCCCTACGACTGATGGCGCCCGTTACTGAAATAGACAAGACCAGGAGGAGGAGGGGAGGCCCGGAAACGCTGTCCTCGGGCGCGTTAAACCGACTGAGAATTGTTTGGAGAGCCTGGTGGACATGTGTACTTCGTCATCCTGCCTGCATTTTTTCAGGCGCACCCTCTCCCTCGCGCCTCCAGTGTCTTGCTCCCGCCTCTGAGTGGGCCGAACATGCGCACATGGGAAGTCCCGGCCCGTTTACCCCCGGAAGTGCTTCCTTAGCCCGCGGCGCATGCGCGCTGGGGCGTAGTCGTAGTGTTGGTGAAGGCTGAAAAGTCGACGGAACGGCGGCCTTGTTTGCAGGTAAGGAGAGAAGCGAGAGCGGCAAGCGCAGATCCGGGAGTTCCCTGGAAGGAAGCAAAGATGGGTGAGGGGCGTCTGCGGCGCGGGCTGAGGACGGACGGCTGCGTCGCCCACTACTGAGGAATGTCGGGCCTGTCTCCTGGGCGTCCACCCAAGCCCCGCTCGTGTGAAACTTTTCAATGACCCGCTGAGATCGAGTCGGCGTCGCAGCTCACATGGCGCCTTCCGGTTAACCGAGGACCTCTGTGAGCACAAATTTGCGTCCGTTGACTGGCTCTGTGGTCCGGAAGTCCCACGATTCCGCTGAGCCTCCGTTTCTATATCCGGAATGAGAGCAACAGTAGTTACCGGTTCCAGGCCAACTGAATAAAAATTACGGTCCTGGGGAAAGAGATCCCAACACCGCGCCGAAGGCCACCAGAGCCCGTTAGCTGGCCACATTTCGCCAGCAAAGCTCAGAGGTTGTTAAACGACTTGCCCATGGGTCACTTGGATGCCCCACCGCTCTTTCCTATATACCCTTTGGTAACGCAGAACGAGCGACAGAAGCTACCGATAATAATTTGTTTTCCAGGTTTAAGGTGATAAAAAGACAAGTCGTCGTCCCCCCCCGCCCCGCATAAAAAGCTGTCGCGCATCCCTGCTCCTTGGTCCCAGAGGCCGCTTCTGCTCAATGATTAAAGCCGGCTCTTTGTAAATAGCGACTCTTTCTGGATGTGCCGCTTTTAGACGCGACTTTCTGAGTTCCTGCTGTGATTGATGAGGTCTTATTTCTGCCTCCCACCCATCCACTCCAACTTCATCCTCCACACTAGATATGCTTCTGTCGTGAGCATTAGTCAAATCATTAGTTCTGTTTTCTGAGACTGAAAATAAGATTCCCTGTTAAGGCAAGTAGCATGTTCACCTGTGCTGCTTTTCCTGTACTGTCCTTTTTTTCTCCTCAAAGCTGATTTTCTTTGCTAGCTGTTAATGTTTTCCTCAAAACTCCAGCACCTCACACAGCGATGGGTTGTATTTTTCCACAGGCTTAAACGAACCAGTACTTTTTTTTTCTTTTCCCATGGAAACATTTCTCCCAGACGCTGGCATTCTCTTGCTCTGCTTTGTTCTGCTTGCTTACAGCGAAGCAGTTGTCCTAGAACTTTATGTTAGTTCTCTCCTAAGTTGGCCTCTGGTTTGTTTTTTGGGGGGGGGCGGGGGGTAAGATTTTATTTATTTATTTATTTTTAGAGAGGGAAACATCAGTGTGTGGTTGCCTCTTGTGCACCCCCTACTGGGGACCTGACCTGCAACCCTTTGGTTGGCAGGCCGGCATTCAATCAATCCACTGAGTCGCACCAGCCAGGGCTGGCTTCTGTTTTCAATCTAATGATATCCTCCTCTTCCTTCTGTAAGCTCATATCCTAGTAGTTTTCAAAGAAATTGATTAATTCATTTTTGATTCATAATTGATTTTTGAGTGCTTGGTTATTTGAAAATGGCTCTATTTGCCCTCACAGTTTGGGTATAAAATTAAAATTCGGGGTTGAAAATCTACATTGAGATGTGAGAGTGTTGCTCCTCTTACCGGTTCAGTGCTGTTCTGAAAGGCCTGGCCCTGTTCTGCTTTCTGACCTTTTCCTTCCTTCTGTCTGGTAGAAACAAGGTTTTCCTCAATGCTGTAAAGTTTCATGAGCCATTTATGGAAGGTCTTTTTGTTTCTGTAGGAAGAATTAGGTCCTTTCAATCCTGGGACATTTCCTATTCTTTGGTAATGTTTATCTCTGTTTTTTCTGTTCTCACTCTGGAATTTCATCTAGGTTCTTGCTCTGCTTGTACTTGTTTATATTTTGTTCTCTTTTATAAGAGATTGCTTTGACTTTTATTTACTTTAAAGATTTTTTAAAATTTATTACTTTTTAAGATTTTATTTATCTTTAGAGAGAGGGGAAGGGAGGGAGAGAGGGAATCATCAGTGTGTGGTTGCCTCTAACACACTCCCCACTGGGAATCTGGCCCACAACCCAGGCATGTGCACTGACTGGGAATCAAACTGGTGGCCCTTTGGTTTTCAAGCTGGCACTCAGTCCACTGAGCCACACCAGCTAGGGCTCAATTTATTTATTTTTAGAGAGAGAGGAAGGGAGGGAGAGAGACAGGGAGAGATACATTGGTTTCCTCTCAAACGTCCCCAAATGGGGACCTGGCCTGTAACCCAGGCATATGCCCTGACCAGGAATCAAACCAGGCCAGGCTTTCAGGCCAGCAGTCAATCCACTGAATAGCCAGGACTCTTTGAGATACCAAAAAAAAAAAAAAAAAGGTTTTATTGATGGCTTTTTTTTTTAAGATTGTATATATTTATTTTTAGAGAGAAAGGAAGGGAGGGAGGAAGAGAAGGAGAGAAACATCAGTTTGTGGTTGCCTCTCACATGTCCCGTACTGGAAACCTGGCTGGCAACCCAGGCATGTGTCCTGACTGGAAGTCCATTCAGTCCATCAGTTTGCAGGCTGGCACTCAATCCACTGAGCCATACCAGCCAGGGCTCTTGACTGATTTTTAAAGAGAGTGAGAGCCTTGACTGGTATAGTTCAGTGGGTTGGGTATCATCCTGCAAACCAAAAGGTTGACAGTTCGATTCCTGGTCAGGGCACATACCTGGCCAGGTCCCTGTTGGGGGTGAATGAGAGGCAACCAATTGATGTTTCTCTCCCTTTCTTTCTCCCTCCCTTCCCCCCTCTCTAAAAATAAATAAATAAATAAAATCTTTTTAAAGGGAGAGAAACATCGCTTTGTTGTTCCACTTATTGATGCATTCATTGGTTGATTATTGTATGTGCCCTGACCAGTGATTGAAACCATGACCTTGGCATATGGCAACAGTGCTCTACCAACTGAGTACCTGGCCAAAGCAGATTTCTTTGACTCTTACCTCTAAGCATTTGTATTCAGTTGTCTGGATCATCCTGTCTCTACTTTCCAAGGGTTCATTTGCCAGGCTGCCCTTTGGCATACTGTTCTAGTTTTGTTTTTTTTAAAAAAGGATTTTATGTACTTATTTTTAATATAATTAATTAACTCATCAGAGAGAAGGGAAGGGAGGGAGGGAAGCATCAAGTCGGTTGTCTCTCACATGCGCCTTGACTGGGGACTGAACCCACAGCCCAGGCAGGTGTCCAGACAATAGAGCCTGGGATATTTTTTGCTTTGCGGGACAACATGCAACCAAGTCAGGGTGTGAGCCACACCAGTCAGGGTTCCTATTCTAGTTTTATGGTACAGTGCCTTCTCTCATAATTAAGGAGGATGTTATCTTCTATTGAGGTTTCCATTGGCTTTCTTTCTCCTTGGGTGCATTGGGACTTTTCTGTCTATTACGTGAAGTTACCAGCTCTTTGTGTGAGAGCCATCCTTCTTATCTTGTGGGTCTCACTGCTCAGTGGGCCTGGCAAGGAGCTGGTATTTTCTTCGGGGCATGGAGGATCCTTCAACTCATAGTGTCTGAGAATACTTTTCCCTGGCTCTCTTTCCCCAGAATGTCTCCTGAAGTTCCCCCAGTCTGGGGGCCTCCTGGCTGGGTCAGTAGGCAGGTTTTGGTGGACTCTCCCCTCTCTCCAACCTGGCCCTTGCCCACAGCCTCTCTTGTGCCTGCATCTCTCACCTGAGAGGCCCCTCATTCTAGTTCTTCTGAATCCAAAACTGATTTCCCCGGCGGAGCTGAGGGTACCAGGGCAGGGACCTTATTCGCAGGGTGTTGTTCAGAGTGGGGTTCTGCCAGGGGTGGGATGACGTAAGCTATGAGTAACCAGCAGCTTGGTTTCTGATAGTTAACTTATTTTCACTCTTAATTTGGTGAGCAATTAAGTATCATGTTTTGCTATGTATAATGCACATCCATGTTTTTTGCCCTAACTTTCAGGGAAAAAATCGTTCATTTAAATGTTTTACCTCAATTTTTAATTTATTTATATTCAGTAACAAAACCAATTATTGTATTCCAGGGTATTATTTTGCATATGGCTATTGTTATTGCTTTCTAGAGTTGCACTTTTAATGCATAAGCATAGGTAAAAGAATTAAAAATGTTTACATAGATATGGAATTAGTACTACCCGTATATAATGCATATCCTTATTTTTCCCTCAAAAATTTGGGCAAAACAGTGCACATTGTACACAGCAAAATATGGGTATTTGCTTGGGTTTGGATTTTCCTAAGTCATTCAGGTTTCTTGCAGCAGGTACTTTTCTTAGCACCAGCTGGCCACTAGCGATTTAGGAGCTTATTCTGGCCATTTCAGAAGGAACTGGGCTTGTTCCAGTCCCAGGAAGAACGGAGATTGGTCTCTTGGGGGTTTTTAGATGAGGCTTGGGAATAGGGGTGGGATGGCAGGAGTGAGGAGTGAGAAAGGAGGGTGAGCATGCTGTCTTCTCCCTTGCCTACTCCTTCTCCCAGGCCTGAATACCCTGGGCCCAGGGGAGTCCCAGTGACAGCTGCCACTTTCTCGGCTCACTGCCTCTTCCTTGGCTGCAGGTTTTTCCCT